GGAACTGTCTCCAGGGTAAGTGAGGTGTTAAAGATGTCTGCCAGCACCTCGCAGAGCTGATCAGCACATTCCTTCAACACTTTTCCGGGGATGTTGTCTGGGCCAGTTGCTTTGTGCGGATTAATCCTCCTGAAGGTACTCCTTACTTCTGCTGAGGTCACGCTGAGATGCTCTTCATCCGGTGGTGAGGTGAGTCTGGTGCTGGGAGGGAGGGGGGAGGAAAGAAGGAGGCAACAACCTATTCAATACCCCCCACCCCTTGTTACAATATATTGGTGTATGTTCATCGATATGATTAATCAAAATCAGTTAAACGTGAATGTTAGAGCTCTTCATTCAGAAAATCCACACGTCACATCTAAATTTCTGGATCTGGTTATTATAGACCCTGATTAAATATTAAATATGAATATCCTATATTTATCACCACAGTAATAGTGCTTACCTATAACCTAAATATTTGAGTAAACATATTTAATAATCATGTTAAAAGTTACAAATGATATCTTAAAAAAAAAATAGAAATGGGACAGTTGTATAGTTTGAACATGACACAATTACTATGTTCCATTGTGAATAAAATTCACAGAATTTGCAAATCATTGCTTTGTGCTTATTCACACTATTCAACGTTGCAAATTGGGTTTGTATGAATATTCTTCAACTTTTAGTATACATGGAAACTCTTCATTGATATGTGGTTATATTGACTGTATCCAAACATTATGAAAACTTTGAATAAAAATTAAACTAGCAATAAAGCTTGTAGCGTAATGCTCCTACCGTAAGGGTACTTGGTGTTGAGTCGATCATCAGCAGACCTCGACCAGGGCAACAGGTCATCGTTACAGCCATTGGGCATCCCATTGTACCCAATTCCAACTATTTTATTCTCCTGATTCACGATACATGCACCAACCTGTAGGGGCAGGGTTCAATATAACACATCAAAACACACATTTGTATTATACAGTCCCCTGAATAAAGCTGAATTGATGCTTTGTGTCAGGACTTTACATCCGTGGTCTTCAATTAAAATTCAGCAAGATCCACCAAGAGGTAAAAGGTAACCGCTGCATTAACTGATTTTAGCTGCTTCTTTGTCTTTTCAAATTGCAGGTTGCATAATTCAAAAAGCGTTCAATACAAAAACAACTGGACTTTATTTGTAACAGAAGACGTTTCGCTCCTCATCCGAGGAGCTTTCTCAATTCAAAGAGCAGAGAGTGAGAGATACAGGTTATAAGGCTGAGTGAGGTAAGACACACACACATATGTAGATTGGCAGTTCACACCTAAACAGTAAGAGTATTTTGTTCCTCTAATTCACAGACGAGGCCCCTCTGTTCCCATCAAGTGTGAAAACCGGCTGGGGATCTGTTTTAAAGTTGCATTATATGTTTTTGAAAGTGGAAATCTGAGGCCTCCTCCTCTGTTAAGAGACGGCTTTTCTCTTTTTACATAAATTGCTTCCTACACCCCCCTCTCAAACCATCTGTGTTCTCGGTCCAAAATGTGCACATTTTGGTCCTGAAAAAGAGTGTCCCTTATCTGTGAGGTGGAGGTGAACAGCTGAGTCTTGTCCAGAGGAGGTGGCTCTCCTGTGTTGAGCCATGCGTCTGTGAAGAGGCTGTTTAGTTTCTCCAATGTAGAGGTCTGGACAGTCCTCACTGCACTGGACCGCATACATTACACCACTCTGTTTGTGTATGGGTGTCTTGTCCTTAGGGTGGACCAGCCTCTGTCTGAGAGTCCTGCTGGGTTTGAAATGTACTGGGATGTTGTGTTTGTTGAAGATCCTTCTGAATTTCTCTGATACTCCAGCAACATAAGGGATGACAATGTTTTTACCTCTGTTGTTCTCCTTTTTCTGTTTGTTGGTGTGTTTTGTAGATTTCCTCACTGACTTGACAAAAGCCCAGTTAGGATATCCACATGTTAGAAGAGCTTCTTGAACGTGTTTCAGTTCCTTTTCCTTCCCTTCTGTCCTTGTGGGGACGCATTCGGTCCGATGTTGTAAAGTTCTGATGACAGAGTGTTCCAGTGGATGGTGGGAGTCAAACAGAAGATACTGGTCTGTGTGGGTTGGTTTTCTGTAAACTTCAATGTTGAGGCCGTCCTCTCTCTCCATCTGAACCAAACAGTCCAAAAAAGGCAGCTTGTTGTTGTTTGCATCTTCTCTGGTGAACTTGATGTTGTTATCGACCGAGTTGATGTGTCTGGTGAACGCTTCTACTTCCTTAGCTTGGATTTTGACCCAGGTGTCATCCACATAACGGAACCAATGGCTTGGCGTTGTTCCCTCATCGGAGTTTAGGGCTCTCTGTTCCACTTCCTCCATGTAGAGATTGGCAACAATGGGTGACACTGGAGATCCCATGGCACAGCCGTGCTTCTGTTTGTAAAAACTGTCATTGAACTTGAAATAAGTGGTGGAGAGGCAGAGATCCAACAGAGTGCAGATCTGGTCCAGGGTGAAGTTGGTCTTGTTGATTAAGTCCTTGTCTTGTAGAAGTTGTTTTCTGACGGTTTCTACTGCTTCAGAGATGGGTATGCATGTGAAAAGAGAAGTCACATCATACGATACAAGGGTTTCTCCTGGGGTTAGTTTCAAGTGTTGAACTTTGTTAGCAAAATCAATGGAGTTCTTTATGTGATGAGGTGTGTTTCCAACAAGAGGAGCTAAAATACCAGCCAGATGTTTAGCAATATTGTATGTCACTGAGTACATGCTGCTGACGATGGGTCTGAGTGGTGTTCCTTCTTTGGGTATTTTTGGAAGTCCATAAAGACAGGGAGTGGCTTCCCCTGGGTACAATCTATAATACAACAATCGATTGATTGTTTTCTCCTTTTCAAGTTTTTGCAGGTAATCTGTGACTTTCTTTTTGTAGGCGCTAGTTGGGTCCCTCTTCAGGGTCTCGTAGGTGTCGCTGTCGCTCAGTAGTGTAGTTATTTTTTCCCGGTAATCAGAAGTGTTGAGGACTACTGTGCATCTTCCTTTATCAGCTGGTAAAATGGTGATGTTTATATATATATATATATATATAAGTGTATGTAAGTGTATGTATATATAAGTGTGTATATATATATATATATATATACATACATACACACACACATACATATATACACATTTCCTGGTTGCATAAAAAGCGCGACACGTCAGAGGTAACGCATAATAGATGCGACGTATATGGCGAAGCGACATATTTATGGATTTCCCACTTCATTAGACAAAGATGGACTGAAGGGAGGAGTGACGTGTACGGCAGAAAATACGGTAATCGCCCAGTAAAATTTGTTATCGTGACAGGCCTACCTCCACTTGCGCATGGGTGCTGGCACTTGAACCCTGTGTGTCAAATGTAATTATTCAAAGAGTGGAAAAGAACTTTAATGTAGCAGTGGTGTAACGGTACATGTGATTGTATTGAACCGTTTCGGTACAGCATCTTTGGTTCGGTCCATGTGCGTACTGTTACGGTTATTTTTTCACTCATTAAATTTTATTAATGAGAGATTATGCGCCGCGGAACTAAAGTTCCTAAGCGTATTTCAGCACAGCGCTATTAGTTGTTGCATAGTCTTGCAGCATGCGTAGCATTAGCAGCCTAGCAGGAGACCTTTTTATGTTGTTGCGGTGTCCTGTTTGGGAACATTATGGCTTTCTTGTTAAAACTCAACAATGGGAAAAGACAAGTGAACAAATCCAAAGATGTGTGTCAACTTGGTTCATGGAAAGTCGATCTGCAACTTGTTAACGCTCTTGAAACGACATCACCCGAACGTGAACATCTCTTCTAGCAGCTTTTTTCAAAGACCGATAACAGCAGAATTTAAACAACCTCTATCAGGTAATTCAGATCGGTGCAGAGCAATAACACAAGCTGTAGGAGTTTTTAAAGCTCTGGATTTACGTCCGTATTTTGTTGTTGATGTTGTTTTAGTCTTCTACACTGCTTTATAATCTAGCTGTATTTGTTGGTATTCACTGTTGTCATCACTTTTTGTTAAGAAATCAGGTCTCTCTTGTAAACCCCGAGGCTCAGTGGGATTAACCTGTCTAAAGAAAGGTTGAATGAATGATGTGCCGGCTTTAAGCATATGATTTAAGTTCTTGAGCACCACTACCTACGACATCCCATCATGTCAACACTTCAGCCAAAAACTTGTACCAGCACTTTATGAAAAAGCTAAAACCCATTCGTCAGCAAGCCCGACCCCAGATTTAAAGCCCTGCCCTGATGATGATGAGCGAGAAATTCAACCATGTCATAACAGAAATGATGACCATGCAAGAAGAGGTAATGTTATTGGATTACTGTGAACTAATTAACTTTTTTAATTTAAAATTATAATCTTACTAACTCAGTTTTGTGCAGTCTGAGGATGTCACTGAGAGCTGAGCAGCTGAGTCTTCTTCCACGTCAGGGAAATTTTTTTATTTATTTTTATACAAACATATTTTTACTTGGCATATTTTCAAAATAAACATTTTGAAAGTCTTTATTTTGGCCTTTTTTGTACCGCAAATTAACCGAATCAAGCCCTCCTTGAAACTGAATCAAACCGAAATGTGATTTTCGCGTACCGTTACACCCCTATAAAGGTAAAGTCCCGTAGCTTTAAAGAGACTTCAGAAGATAATTTACAGTCAGAGTACCGTTCTTTGGTCTGATGGTTTTCATGAGAATCAGACAGGAAAGAGGCCAGTCAGCCGAGTTCATGGCAAACATCCAAGAATCTGGAAGAATTTTTTTTTCTCCTACGGCACTACTTTTTACGCTTTTTGTATTTGAAAAGTTGAAAAGGAGAGACGTTCTAATGTCTATGACAGGCCACCTAATTAAAAACAATAATAATAAATATGTGTTTTAGTTTACATACAAACCTGGGAGCTAGGGTCTTTGCTCCTTTGTGCTGACAAAAAAGCTACAGCCATGAAATAATCTGGCCATTCCAGATAGTCTTCTCTTTTAAGGGTTGTGTCACTACAAAGAAACAAGAGACAGAACAGGTTTTAATGGAAACGGGAAGAGTTTCACACACGTCACACGGATTTGTACAAAATTGGTAAACTGCATTCATTGCAACAAAGTTCATGTTCAATCATCCAGGTACCAATCCAATAATTCTCAGTTGGGTCATCTGGACAGTTTCTTTTTTATAAGAAACATTTCGCCCTCTATCCGGAGGGCTTCATCAGTCAGAGGAGTTCCAGTAAACGGTTTCCCCACCAAGCCCCCACCATCTGCATTCATTGGTTATTAAATTGTCTCTGATATCTGAAGAAAATCCAGTTTGAAAAGTCCACATGGTGTACAAGCGTACATTTGTGTAGTTTAACAAGTGTAAAGACGTCATTTTACTATATTTTAGACCCAGATTTGTTACTAATCTGGGAGTGAATTTGTTAATTTTAAAAGTATTTGGACACCCAGATAATAAACCATTGCAATAGTCTTATAAATCCAGTTTGCTTTTACCGTGTTCTTTATTTCTGATGGAGCTTTGGCATCTCCTGGAAAACAGAGAATCTACACCAGCTGTAAAACACGTGCTTTATAAAATCAAACAACGTCATGTGTGATTAGTTTTACTGGACTCCTTATAAAGTTTAAAAAGTTTTGAAGATGAGCTTATGTCAAGTTTAAGCAGACATCTATCTGTATTCTGCTGTTTAGCTCTAAAAGAGTTATTGAATCAAGTGTTTACTTATGTAGGTCTAGATGTTAAACAGCTGTTAAAATACACCAGAATGCAGGAAATGGCATCTACTTTATTCAACATTTTCTGGGGGAGGACCCCCAGCTCCCCCCCCCATCAGTGTGGCCATGCATCAGGACAACTATTGTACTTTTAGTAGTTTCATTTTGTTGTTTCGCCGTCTCATTTAACCGTAAAGCACTTTAGTCAGTCTCAGTAGTTTAAATGTACTGAAAATTTGAATGAACAGAAGTCAACAACTGGAAAAAACATCTAGTCGTGAAAATATCCTACTTGTTTGAGAAGGACCTGGGACTTACTTCAGCCAACCTAGTTTTGTTTTGGCTTCAGTTTCTGGGTTTTGTTCCCATGTCCGGTGCATAAATTGATTTGGTTGACTAATGTCTGCTGTTAGAAACGAAGACATCTCCGATGTTTACCGTGTTTTTAACTGCTCGAAACTTCCTTCACATTTTAGAGTCTGCTGTTAAGAGAGAGAGGTTACCTGGTCATAAAACAGAGCTCCTGTACTTCCTCCATGGCACACCAAACAGCCGTCCTTCCGCTCCGTCGCGTGAACACCGTGTGTGGTTATCGATGACAACATATTCTCCCGCGCTGACTTTTTGTTAATTACGCCCTGAGTTTTACCTAACAAAAAAACAAACTTCACTAACCCCGTGATGAACTTAAATCTAAAGGCTATACTTTATATATGAGTTACCAACGTTATCCTTACAAGTTATAATAGAGGATTACTTCTGTTTCTTAATAAATATAGATTATTGTAGGTTCATGGTTTTGCTGCCTTACTAGACTTACTCAGCGACAACAGTCGAATTATTGTTGGCCCAGAGAAAGTCACGAACATAGAATGTATGGCAAGCCCTTTTAACATAAAATCGAGTAGTCTGACTAGTTGCATTCTAGATATCTAAAAATGAATGTTGACTTGGAACAACTACATTCTGACTAGTCAGAATGCTAATTTAAGATATTTGTATTTACATTCTGACTAGTCAGAATAACAATTCAAGATATCTTGAATTAATTTTGAGATATCTTAAAAGGAATTTTGACCAGTCATAAGTACAGTTCTAGATATCTTTCAGTTAGTTTTGCCTAGTCGTTATTTGCTATCAAGATATCTGCAATTTAATGTGCACTAGTCAAATCTTTATGTATGATATCTAAAAATACATTTAAGATATCTTGAATAATTCAATTCAATTCAATTCAAAAATACTTTATTAATCCCAGAGGGAAATTATTTTGTTGTTGTAACTTGTTATCCTCATTTCATTAAGAGATGTTATAGATGCTGATGCTGTAGACAGGAAGGATCTCTTGTAAAGGTCCATCCCACAGTGGATCCTAAGAAACTGGCTGCAGATGCCGTCCGATCCGTCCACCCAGACTCGGCTGGCCTCTTGGTTCCCCTGGACTCTAGGACCGCTTGAATGCCGGGCAGAACTCCTCCCAGTGCGATGGCCACTCCTCCCAGCAGTCTGCCGAGCTCCTCGTCGCTGCGGACAGCCAACTGTAGGTGCAGAGGGACGATCCTGTCCTTCTGCTGTCATGAGCCGTGTTTCCTGTTAGTTCCAGGATCTCAGTGGTCAGGCACTCGAGCACAGCTGGCAGGTAGATGAGAATGCGTCCACAGAACATCCTTTTCAACTCATTTGAGAGTTGGGGCTGTAGTTGAGATATTATTTGAGCTTTTGAGATGTTAATCAGCTGCTGTTGTTGTAGAAAACTGCCTTGTTGCCATGGTTACGCATCATAACAAATGTCCAAAACTAAAAAAAGTTTCAGTAAAAATCCTTCCAGCTGCACAACATCTGATACCAGAGGAAACAATCATCCAAAAAATGTGATTTACATCCAGAAAAAGAGGAATTAAAGTTTCCAAAAGCAAAATCTCTTAGAATGAAAGTAACAGAGCTGCTCCAACATGCAGCCACCTGGAGCGGCGCAATTCTAGAATTGATTAATTCTAGAATTAATGACGTAATTTAAGATATCTTTAATTGTAATCCTGACTAGTCAGAACTAAAAGTGAGATATCTTGAAAGCAAATAATGACTAGTCAAAATTAACTTAGAGATAACTAGAACTGTGTTTTTGACTAGTCAAAATTCAGTTTAAGATATCTTGAATTGAAGCCTCCATACAACTCAATGGTAAATCTGACGTCATTTACACTAGTCAGAATGTAATTAGAGATATCTCAAATAAGTATTTTGACTAGTCAAAATATAATTAAAGATATCTTAAATAACTAATGTGTCAAATCAGTTTCAGATATCTGGAATGTAAGCGTGGTGAATCCGATTTTATGTTAAAAGGGCTTGCCATACAGGGAACACGTCATTAACGTCAACACGTCACATGACACAGAAAGTAACCAATCACGTATCGTGTTGCTGACTACCCGGCAAAAATAAAAGTAGTAGCTAGCTGCTTAGCTGAGTTAGCTATTGCTTTTTTGTTAACCCGGAGGTGAGAGTGGATGTTTATCACATTTATTAACCAACGCTTGCATATGTAGCGATGTCAAATATATATTTCTAAACACGGAGGTTTTGTGCGGTTGTTCTGTTCCTTGTCATCAGGTGTTTAACTTTAGTTTACTGTGTTTCTTCTATCTAGGGAACAATCAATGCTTTCTGCAGGAGATGTCCAAAGTTACCTTCGCACACTGGAAAGTCTCCTGAGAGGGATCAAATACCCCGGGCACGTCGACTACAATGGGTAAGACAAATGCTAACAACATTATCAAAAGGTTTATCTAAAAAAACAAACTATTTACGAGGCACCTTTTCCATTAAGCACTTTGGTTGGCCTTGTCACTGTGCTCTGTAAATACAATGGTATGGTATTAAACTGTATAAAAAGATGTCTTCTGTCACAGCACCGGTGTAACTTCTACAAATATTTAGTCATTTGCCATGAAACTTTCAAACCGTTGATCTTTGACGAAAGTTCAATGTATGCTAGCTTTTTCACTAGTTACAATAGGTAGTCAGGTTTTATTTATTAAAAACTCAGTAGTTTGTTCTAAAGATTGAGTTTGTTATAGCACAAAATCTAATTTTCATTATATTGTCATCGTTTTTGACATTTTGCTGGTGAAACAAAAAGCTGTGTGTAAATGGCATGGGTTGATTTTTAGAACGTATCTAGATGAAAACATGGACAATCAGTCTGTTGGGCTGGTAAACAGTCTTTTTGCTCCTTAAGGACAATCAAACAGATTTTGTTGGAGCAAAAGTTTTTAAACTTGTGACACCACCAGGAGGGGGGAGTGGTGGTGCAGAGGCTAGAGAAGGTGGGCCTGTGACTGGAAGGTCACTGGTTCAGCTCCCCGGACCAAAAACATCAAAATATGGGTGGGAAAGCTGAAACACCCACACCTTCTCTACCCCCATTTGACCCACCCTTGCCCCCCCGGGCACCCCCATATGGATGCAAATAATGTTTTTGGTTGGAGAACATTCAAGTGTTATTGTTGTGTGGCAAATTATAGCTACCTATGTTTTATAATATATTGCAAACTGTGCAACATTGTTTGTCCCTAACATACACATGTTTAGTGAGGCTACGCTTGTAACGTACACATGTTTAGTGAGGCTACGTTTGTAACATACACATGTTTAGTGTGGCTACGTTTGTAACGTACACATGTTTAGTGTGGCTACGCTTGTAGCGTACACATGTTTAGTGTGGCTACGCTTGTAACGTACACATGTTTAGTGTGGCTACGCTTGTAAGATGTACATGTTTCGTGTGGCTACGCTTGTAGCGTACACATGTTTAGTGTGGCTACGCTTGTAACGTATATGTATAATGCAATAGTTGTCCCTTATTTGGTTTACTGTATTGAAGTCTGGGGTAAAGCGTGTAAAACTATAACTAATCCTTTGTTCATTTTACAGAAAAGAGCTGTACGAATTATTATGAAAAAAAACTATAGATATCCGTCGAATACTTTATTTCATCAACTGAAAATTCTGAAATTCTATGATTTGGTTAATTATAACATTTTGTTGCTTATGTATAAGGCACATATAGGCATTTTGCCCGTTACTATTCAGACGAATTTTGTTAAAAGAGAGAGTGTATATTTTCTTAAAGGAATTGAGATGTTTGTGACGCCTTATTTTAGTACCAGTTTGAGGGAACGATCCACAATAATTCAGGGGATAGGATTGTGGAATGGTTTGGATGATAACGTTAAAAATGCCAGATCACTGTTTACATTTAAGAGATTGATAAAGACAAGTTTCTTGAAAGAATATGGAAATCATTAATATAAATCTACTTAAGTTGTTGTCTGATTTGATTTAGACGTTTGAGTTTTATATTTTAATTTCACTAAATCGTTATTGTCTTTGTGAATTACATTTAAATTTAATTTTGTAAAAATATCTTGATTTACATTAGAATTAAGTAAAAAAGGGGCAGTTTTCATAAGACTAGTTCTTCTTCTGCCACCTTTCATTTTATTTAATTTTTTTTTTTATATTGTATGTATATTTATGTGTATGTATATATATATATATATATATACATATATATACAGTATGTATATGTATATGTGTACATATATGTTTATGTATACTGTATATGTGTTTTTTAAATGAAATGAATAAATTAATTAAATAAATAAAAATAAATAACGTACACATGTTTAGTGTGGCTACGCTTGTAACGTACACATGTT